ACATGGCTGGGAGGTTCAAGGGGGTACAAGCAACAATCAGAGAGCTGGTACCGGATGCAAACTACGTGCACTGCAAAGCTCATGCTTTGAATCTGGCTCTGATAAACAGCAGCTCGAATATGTGTGTCAGAACATGATGTCGACAGTTCAGGCAATAGCCTTTGCTTTTGATTACTCAGCAAAACGCTTGCTTACTTTTTCAAATGAGCTGAATGAGAACGAGGAAGCACAGAGTCAGATGCAGAAGCGTACAAAGCTGCGTACATTGTGTGAAACACGATGGTCCAGTAGAGCTGATGCTCTCTTCACCTTTCTGACATCTTTCCCAGCAATCGTATCTGCTTTGGAAGATCTAAAGGAAGATCATGATGTCAAGGCTGGACAATATCTGAGCTATGAATTCATTATATCGCTTGTTGTCGTTCAGCACGTATTGAGTTGCACTGCCAGGCTATCTCAAAAACACAGACATCGACCTCATAGAGGCAATCACTGAAGCTAACATGCAATAAGCCGACTCCGCAATGAGAGGAACGATGCTGCTGTTTGGGCTGCACTATTTGAACAAGCCTGTCAAAGTGCTGACGAATATGATGTACCACCTTCAACTCCTTGAAGAAACGCTCGTCAGCGACACAGAGCTAACCATCCTGTCCAAGAACCATCAGATTTCTGGAAAGTGTCCCTCTATCTTGTCTTCACAGATGATCTGACTGAAGGCATTTCTGACAGGTTGTGAAGAATGAAGACAGGTTCATAGCGTCGGCTCTGATACCAGCAAAACTACCAAATCTGACTGACGCAGTGACAGACAGGATTGCAAATGTCTATAGCAAGGACTTGGTGGACAAGGATGCTGTTCGTGATGAAGTGGCCAGATGGTCAGTTCGATGGGAAGAGGCAAATATCCATAAACCAGTTGGACTGCTTGAAACTCTGCGAGTTGCCAATAGGGGTTTGTATCCGGGTATTCTGATCCATGTCCACAGAGACATGCCAGTAAACACACGTCCGTGTCATCACCTTGCACTGATCCATATCGTACTTGACATACGCACCACTATGTCCGTGACCTCAGAGATGCTTCAGTGCTATGAGGAGGATCAAGACGTACCTTCGGTCAACCATGGGTGATGTTCGTATGTCATGACTGATCCATGTCCACAGAGACATCACTGATCCATGTCCACAGAGACATGCCAGTACCGTGTCACTTGCACACATGCCGTGTCATCACTTGCACTGATCCATGTCCACAGAGACATGCCAGTAAACACACACCGTGTCATCACCTGCACTGATCCATGTCCACAGAGACATGCCAGTAAACACACACCGTGTCATCACTTGCACTGATCCATGTCCACAGAGACATGCCAGTAAACACACACCGTGTCATCACTTGCACTGATCCATGTCCACAGAGACATGCCAGTAGACACACGCCGTGCCATCGAGCAATTTGCTTTTCGGAAGACGCATGGATTTCATGTAAGCCTGTATACGTACATAACGTTCTGACAGCAAATAAAGCTTACTCCTCAGAATAGAGACTGTCTTTTCTTATTGATCCACATAATTGTCATTTGTTAAAATTATGTTCATATAAAGTAATCAGGAGCTAGCATTCTGGCATTCAATATGTATTCACAACACTATAGTCTGTCCATGCAACAATTGGCTTCATCTGATATAACTAGCACTAGTCTACAGATGTTATTCCCTGTGCAAATAAACTGTGTACTGACTTCTGTTAACCCCTCACACACACCCAAGAAAATGCATGGAAAGTTGGGGTATTTCTGCTGTGTTTTTCTGAAAAGTAAATCAGCTGGTGCATAACATTTTATGGCTACATAGATTATTGACTTTTCCTGAAAAAGCTATTTTGTCATTGCTCAAATATGTCATAAAATATTTGTTAGAATATTTTATCAGTTCAAATTCAGAAAATACATTTTTATGAAAAGTTTGAAATACGCTTTTTCCCGAAAATGTGGCAGGAAATGCTGTCTAGAGCAATCACTTTTCGCAAATTTTCGTGTGCGTGCGTGCGTGCGTGTGTGTTTTATGTGTGTGTGTGTGTGTGTGATGCCCCCAAACCCCCTAGCAGTTTCGCACGTTCAATTGTGCCTACACTTCTTTCCTTCCCTGGGTACGCCCCTGTTTATGTACAAACGAGCCCTGAATCAAGGGAAGGGTCCTCGCAAAATCCGTCGGTAGTGATGTCATACGTCAACATTGTTGTACATATTTGGCAATTTCTTTGAGGCGAAGGTCAATTGAATAAGAGTATACACAATCGCCATGTCCCAACGATTACACTTTCAGTATTATAATGTTATATTGTGCGTATCTTTCAGATATTTTTTATGCAATTAATTTCATCATCTACATTTAGCCTTGTTCATATATCCGTCGATATAGGGTATACGTTTTTTTATTCTTTGACAGTTTTTGCTGTTTGATTAATACTTACATAAGGAATTGACATATTGTGTGAAGTACACCATAGTTGAAACTTTTACACAAGTGTTAGAAGATTAAACGTAGGCATAACACCAACATGTACTTTAGAAAGAATGTTAAATTCTGTGATAGAATTCAAGTCTTTTAAATTAAATTAAATTGGAGATATATATTAATCAACATACCTATGTCGTCTTTTTCCGACGTCGCAAAATACATAAAACCACAGGGTCATGTAACGCTAAAAACTGCCATCAAGGTATGTACTGTCACTAACGGGGTCTTAGCACTATAAAGGGAAAGGGGTGTAACTTGGTCATCACATTTAGTTCGTTTCAGGGCGAATTCAACAATGCTCACTGTATTTATCCCATTTAAAGTATGCACACATTTCAAGCCAATAGATTTACCTACCAAATGAGACTTACAGCACAAAAATCGAAGCAGTACTTTGGGGGGTAGGGTCTTCGGAAGCTCGAAAATACCTGATGACTGCTCAGAATGTGTAGCGGTCACTCATCGATTTTCTTGTTTATTTCACAGTATACACAAACGACATGCACCAAATCATATTGAATTGATGGCACCTGCCAGCACGCTAATCGCCATTCTTTCGGAGAAACTTACACTTTACTGTTGCAACGATTCATTTATTCATCGCAAACAGTCCTGTGTCGTGCCCGTTCGCCATTGACGACCTTGGCCTTAACCTTCCCCGCACTGAAAAGAGCCAGGGAGTTCATTGACTATAAATATAATATGTCCCATCAGATCGTTGACTCTTTCTTTTCAGTGCGGGCCAGGTTAATGGTAGTTTTTAGCGTTGCAAGCCCCTGTGCTTAAAGCAAGCCATGACTTCAGCTAAAATGTTGTATTATTTTCAGTAATTTCATTCCATTTGAAGATATGGCTAGTACTCTGTTAATAATGGTGCAATATTAGTCAAAATACATCTACATAAACAGGAGAATATTGGAATCTAAGAACTAATTTATATATAATTACATATTGGATTTGCCATCCAAATCACTAATCCCTTATCGCTCATGTAACACGATGCAATATTTTCTTATAAATTGTGATACTACCAAAATGTATACGATCACATTGGGGATAATTGTATTAGAATAGTTTGGTTCACATCACGAAAATACAGCGTCCATATACACAGCGAAATAATGTCCAAGTGATCTGAGTTACAATGACCTAGTGTTAAGCATAGTGGAGTTATGGCCCCTTATCTTTATACATGCAGGGCCTTTAAGCCGTCGTTTGACGTCACAGAGAAAAATCCATTTTCGACATTTATTGCGAATCATTTTTAAAACGGGGCGTATAACGTTATACATAAGCACACAAACCCCGTTTCATATATACTTGTGTCGCTCAGATATCAGGCTGCATTTTGTTTGCTCACACTGTCCGTAAAGATGCCAAATTGACAAAAACATCGTAGCACAGTGTTTTTATTGGTGCAGAGAAAAAGCGGAGAGATTTACTGTTTTTAAACGCATAACAAAATTTCCGAAAACATTTAGCAGTGTCTATTTTTTTAAACCGCCGATGTATTTGCACTTGAATGTACACCATCGAATAAGAAATTTAATATGCTACGTTTCTGTGTAATTTAATAGTTGTAGGTAGATCCAGGACCACGCGAGCACAATTCTCACACAACGTTCACCTTTCACACATTATGAAAATGTGAGCCAGAAAAACAATTTGGCATCTAGGGGGTTAAGACGCACGCTACGGGAAAAAAAGACAAAACAAACCCCAGTTTAGTGACGGTTTACGTTTGGGTTAAATATCTTCTCTAAATTATTTTAATAACATCTGTGATTAACGTAAACCATATGGGACAATATGAACGTCGCATTTCTAGTACCAGCATAAGTACATCCAGATGAAGCTGACTAGTCACGCGACATTTTATCCGTCGAAAACCATAAATTTAATGTTTCCACCAGGGATGTTAGCCGAGTGAAGCAAATACAAATCAAGAAACGGGGTGCTACGGAGTAGTTTAAAGTAGTAGGCTGTATGAGGCGATGATAACTGACACGCCTCGTCACGTCGGTAACCAAGCGTACGTTTAATAACGAGGGGGCAGACGAGAGCGGCGTAGTGACGTCAATACGGTGACTTCATGCAAAAAGTGTACATTGTCGCCTGATAAAGTACTGTCGGCACCTTTGATCCTTTAGCAAATCATCTTAGAATTTCAATGCTTCATCTTGTAAATAAACATACAAGTGCACACACTATATCCCCTTGTATTCATCCTTCCTGAACTGCACAATACACAGCACTGTTTCAACATCATGCACATTCTATGCACATCGCCTCCTCTATCGAGAGAACACCATGCTTAACCCAAACCCTTTTCCCCCAGTGAGAGATCCCTCATTAGACATCTACTTTCAACAACATAAGCTAAACATAGTGATAAAAGTATCTTACTCTTATTGGTCACATTATGTCTTTTCAACAGGAATTTGTCTCCTGAATACAGTCAGTATGATGTCTACCTGCAAGGTCTATTACACACGGCGACACAGCCGAGCGGTTTCAATGTACACCATAACAGCAAAGTCATGTCACTGCGTTTATGAGCAAAGCCCAGCCTCGTTGTAAACCTAAAGTATGAATGTGTTTCTGTCAGCAAACACTAATTTACAAGATCCATATCCCAGAAACATGCGTAAAAGTACCACTGTTAGCACACTAATAGTACCTTACATGTACATGCATATTTTGACCCTGAAAAGTCAACAGCAATATGTGTGTTGGAAGACAAATTGAGAGGCGAAAGTCACACCTACCTGGATCTGGAACTTTCTCCACTGTTGACACACACGTAACTTCCGGGGATAAAGCGGGAAAAAATTCATACTGTATTTGTATACATGTTTACGTTCACGTGTATATTATCTATACTTGTGATTACAGCGCATGGTTTAAATACACAGTCATCCATATATAAGAATGACAAATGTAAATTTCGTTTGTGGAGATGAAGACGTATCTGGTTGTACGCTAAGGCCATCCAGATCTTTTTTATATGCAATAAAATTGCAATGCAAATCCCTGTGTATCATACCAGAAGCATGGAGATTGAATTCCAGCAGCACTTTTCCGACTGGGACAAGACTCCAGGATATGTGTTTAGGTCAATGTATATCTACCTGACAGGTGATGCATCGAAGTCTCCCTCAACTGTCAGTCAAGCCGTTGACGCAAGAATGAAGCAGGCTTTGTTGTGTGATGATCCACAACTTGTGACTGATCTTCGGGAGAATAATGTTGGAAGACCAGAGATGTATGAACCTTTCTGGAATGCTGTTGAAATAGTTTCACATCTTGAGTTTCCCCCTGTAGCTGATGACAGAAGGCACAGCATTAATGGAAACGTGACCATTGCAGGTCCGATACAAGATTTGATACAGAAAGTGAAAGAATTGGAGCCATCTGTGAACGTTCCCTAACAGACATGGATCAGATTCCAGTTCTGGCCGAAAGATCCAAGGTCTCATGCAGCTCTTAACTAAACTAGTAGATTTGACATCAAATATCAAGTTCAGTCAAGAAGTATCCACAAGAGTCATGCTGGCAGTCATTTTGCTCCAGGAGGAAGTTGGATTAACCCTGCAGAGAAAGTTATGTCAATCTCTAATATAAGATTGAGCAGGGTTGAAATGGATCGAGAAACAGAGCAAACAATTCGCTCATGTACAAACATGACAGAACTTCGAGAAAAAAGCCAAATGGTCTTCAAAATCTTCTGGGGGGAAGCATACACCTTGTCATTAGTGTTGTATCTGAGCGTTTCAGTCACCTCGGCTTGAAACAAGAGCCATTCAAGATTGTTAATAAGGTATCCACTGAAGAGGGAACTGAACTTTTCAACTATGCCAAAGCCATACAGCAAGAACTTTTACGTTCTGACACAACGCAGAAACAGCTTGCCAAGCACAAGAATCTCATGCAGTATATTGCTACTCATGGGAGAGAGAGAGACAATACTCCTTTCAATTGATGAAGTGCCAGAAGGCCCCATCCAATGAATATTTGAAAGAAGAGGCCAAGTTGTTGATAACTTCAAACAAGACTTTAAGTCATGATAGTCAAGAGAAATATTGTGAAGCAACTGCAAAGGCAAGTAGCTGCAGAGCCTTATGGCTCATTGTTGAGGAAACAATGAAAAATGAAAATAAACTCTTAATAGCAGATCTCACTGTGAAGGTAGAAAATTAAGATCCATATACAGTTTGTCAGACTCCAAGGATAGGATTGCAAAAGTTTATGACTCTTCAATGGATTACCACAAATTGATGGTAACAGTGTCGACAAAGCAAGGTTCATGTCTTTCCCTGATCTGATATCCAAAGGTATCAAAGAGACTGACAGGCCTCATACGATCGCGAAGGTTGACAATGACAAGGAACAGAAAACACTTCCAACAAAGGATAAGAGCCGACGAGTAGTTGAATGCATTTCTTGTAAAAACAACAAGGGTCATCTATTCCGACAACAAGTTGTGGACAAAAGCTGAAGTGGACTTGAACATTCTGTTAGAAGTAGGTTTAATTTTCGATTTAATTTCAATGGCAAAGTTTTAAAGTTTCTTTTAGATATGATTAAGAGAGTGGTGAATCAATATTTAACAGCCAGTGTCAATGTATGTTAATATCAAACGCACTATTCAAAGAGCTTTTATACATCTAAAACCAGGCTCGGTCAGGACAATAAATATTTTCATACACTTAACAAGCATGGGGACTTTATTATTTTCCTGAATGTTTCTTAATAAGTAAAGCAATAATTAATAAACCTATAGTATGAATGTGTTTCTGTCAGACGTCAGAAATTTACAAAATCCACATGACATAAAGAAACGTAAAAGTACCACTCCACAAACTGGTGATACAGGCAATGGAGAACTGTTCTGTTCACAGCTGAGAGTCGGTACTGCGTATCAACTACAGATGGCAGGGCAAGAATATTGCGACGACGTGGCCAGCGTTACTCAGACCAATGTGTTATGGAAAGAGACTCATGGTGAGGTGCAAGCATCATGGTATGGGGTGGAATAGGCCTGAACCAGAAAGTGGTGTTCCAGAACATTGGTCCAGGGAGAGGAGGCGGCATCACAGCGGTGCGCTACATCAACCAAGCTCTCAGACCCCACGTCATACCACATTTCGCACGTCACCGGAAGAACATTTTCCAGCATAACGCCCGGGCCCATACTGCCAGTGCTACATGGGACTTCCTAAAGCAGAACGGTGTCAACATTATGCAGTGGCCAGGCCTTTCTCAGAGTGTGGTTCCAAAGGTGCCAATGGCCTTCATCAATCGATTGGTGCACTCCATGCATAGACGCTGTGCTGCAGTTATTGCCGCTCGTGGTGGTCACACTAGATACTGAAGTCAAGAGTCTGAATGGACTGCAAACGTTCACGTAATGTCTTGAAATTGTTATTCATTGATGTGATATTGAAGAAAATAATGTACAGAAAAATGTTTTTGAGCCGCTCATTATGTCCATTTCTGTTATGATTTGATTACAGTGCATATCTAATTTTCAATTCGTAATGACGTTGTTTTGCTGCTGAGTATATGTGTTGAAAAGTAAGGATCCTCCATTCAAACTGCCTTGTGATTAGAACATCACAGTTAAGCATGTCGTGTTTGACTGTAGAGTTTGCCATTAGGATTGAAAACTATTTCATGATTTTCATCTATAAATACTTTATTTGATTAGTTCTAAGGTAATTATTATTAGGCTCCTATAAATATTATATCTTGCACTTATCAATAATTCTTTATTATGTAAATTTCCGGTTGGCCGGTTCCTGGTGATGACATTATACAGTAACAGTGATCTTGTGCAAGTAGGCTCGCCTCTGTGACACCAGATATAGGGATGAAAACTGCACAGTAACTCGAAGACGTTTCCGTAACAGGAGTTGGTTTTAACGTTGTTCGGTGCTAATACGGACACTTTATTTTCCCAAGTAAGATATAATGACTTTATATCATATTTCGATTCTAAATCCGCTTAAGACAAATAAATTTCAACACTCAAATCAAATGATGTTTAAATTCTTAGAAAATGATGGTTCGTAAAATGATTTGGCTAAATGTGTCCAATAACATGCACCCAGTTTTATATGTACAAACAATCTGTTTGTCCCGGAAACATCAATGGGGCCTGATCAGCTGTTGTCTGAGTTTCATGCACAGTCCTATATTGCAAAAGGCAGCTGCCTTACCTAAGTTAGATATTTTTGTTTATTTTGGAAACACATTTTTTATGATTAAAATTTCACAACAGAATGTGCAATATAACTCCGATTTGTTGTCTCGGAAACAACAATAATTATGGCTTAAAAGAAGCGTTAGTTCAGTGCTTGCGTAATATGGACAATATAACTCAATAAATATATCACAGTTCATTACTTATTCCACCCTTTATTTAACAGCTGGTCGGCTTGAATATCAGTGTATGTATACTTTTAAAATAAGTAAAAGATATGAAACAGTTTTTGAGTTATTCCAGCTTTTATTTCATTGGAGTCCAACAGCATATACACAAGGATCAACGAGCGGACTTACTTGTCACAAAACTGTCAAAGAAGAATCAACAAGCATGGTCACTAAGGTGACATAATCCCCGCCGCAAAGCAAACTTATAAAGTAATGAAAGTTTAAGATGAAGTTAAATGTCAACAAAAACATGACTAATCAACCTCTCTCTTGATATCTGGCTCTTTAGTTGTTCAAACACGCACATATTTTCAAGACTGACTTTGACCTTGACACGAATGTCATAGTGTATGAAATATGCAAAACTAGTACTAAAGAAATTGCTTATTGAAAAACATTCAAGAGAAGTCTTAAAAGTATATGAAGAAAATCCAGTGAACCGTTCTTCAAATATCTTGCTGACAATTCAGGTTAACATGCTGAAATCTTCAAAGTGTCGTCGTGACCCTAAAAATTATGTGAAGGTCACCAAAATTGACTGGGCCCTGGGCCTTCCCTAGATGAAGCTTGGTATCAAATATGAAGAAACTCCAGTGAATGGTTCTTGAAGTATCTCGCTGACAAGCATAACATGCAGGTTTACATGCTGAGATCTTCAAAGTGTCGCCATGACCTTGAAAATTAGGTGAAGGTCACCAAAATCGACTGGGCCCTGCGCCTTCCCTAGACAAAGCTTGGTATAGAATATGAAGAAATCGAGTTAACGGTTCTTCATATAGCTTAACATGCAGGTAAAATGTTACAGTCCCCTTGTGACCTTGAAATGAAGGTCAAGGTCACCAAACCTGAAGTTGGACCTTTCTTATACTGTGATGAAACTAGGTACCAAATATGAAAAGAATCTAGAAAACGGTTCTTAAGATATTCTAATTCGTACGTACGGACGTACGGACGGACGGACAGAGCCTAATACTATATCCCCGCTTCGCGCTAAACGCGAAGCGGGGATAATAAAATAAGATCACAGCTTATCATAAGACCCTGTGTTACTGCAGAGACATGAACATAAAATATCAATACATACATAAAAAATATAGTTGCGGGCAACGATGAGAGGTCTCCTTGGCTTTACTTTCTATCTATATTATCTGAGGGCTAGATATCATCGTCCAAAACGGAGCCAGAACACATGTTTTGACAGACGAGCGGATCTTTCAAATACAGCCGGAGTCACGGGGGTCATGTACCTTTTAAGTAGTTCCGGAGAAGAAATAGTTCTGTATCTGCTGTATCTCAGTTGCTCTTGGGTCTACGTTCAAAACAATTAGTGTTCTGGAATCACCAGGACATCATCTACCATACTGGCACTTTTTTCTGGTGTAGACATGGGCAGAAGTCGCTGGTGTGGACTTTGGGGATACTGGTGTAGACAAGGGGACTACTGATGTATACAAGAGGTCAGTGGTGTAGACATGGGGTCAGTGGTGTAGACAAGGGGACACTGGTGTGGACAAGGGGACACTGGAGTAGACAAAGGGGTCACTGGTGTAGACATGGGGGTCACTGGTGTAGACATGGGGTACTTGGGTATGTATATATATAAATATAAACGAATGTTTTGTACTCTTGTTAAACAGCTGTTTAACCAGTGTACATATATATATATGATAGTTCCGACAAGGGAAGTGTATCTCAGTGTGAAAGTGTGTTTCGGTGTGGTGACATATCGATAGATTATGTTGACTGGTACTAGTACCTAGGTCTAGATATGCAACACGTTGTTTTACTTATTGGTGTGAAAGCACTGTACATTGTTCAGGTATTTGGGGTGTGAAGAAATACCTGGAAATATATACACACAACTACACAGAGCATGTACAGCTGTCTGGCGTTCGTAAAGTCACTGCAGGTGTTGTAAGTGATGTGTAAGCATCTATAGTCCGTCAACTGAACTTTTGGCACCCTGTTTTCACAATTTACCTTTTAACCAAAATGCCTTTAAAATGTTTTTGTGTATACGCTCTTTATATGTTATGACCTATCCAAGGTTTAAATTTCATAATTTTATGTCAATTATTAAAGCTTCTTCTTAGAAGCCATCTTATAAAAATATGAAAAATAGGAGTAGTTATACAAGGGAGTAAAATGATACGATGGAACAGCCAACAACATGGTGTGACACGCGTGCATCTTGTTTACATTGTTACGCCAGCAAGTAAATCTACAGGGCCTGTATAATCATCATAAATCCATTTTAAACAAGTAGATTCATTGAAGTCTTTAAAGACTGGTTGCATCTTGTATCTATATACAAATTTGAGCAACAGCTTGCATATGGTATGCTTTGATACAGTGATGTCATGGTCTTCTCTTGAACAATATCTTCTTCAGTTTGCTTGACAATATGGATCGATGTAACCGACGCATGACGTCCCTCGCAGCCCTTCTATCGAATTCATCAAGCTTTGTTTTCTTTGCATGTTTTGAGACGGTCCCCGATTTAATTGTCATGTCATCGTCAGGCTCTGAAATAGTGTTATGGGAGATAACTCTTTGCAATATTCTTTTGCAGATCTCCGTGGCATTAAATGTCCTTTGGAGAAACATTCAATTGAAAAAAAAAGACTTTTTTTCGCTTTGCCTCGCGCTTGAAAAACTTGTCAACTCTTTTGATGATTTGCCGGTCATCTTTGTACAACATAGTTTTCCCTACAACCTGTGCGTGTGGACGATCTTTGACATCAGTTAAGCGTGCTAATGTAAATACCCGTGCATGTACATATCACGCTGACACACATTTTACAGTTTTGTTGGCTTTTCCGTCAGGTGCGTTAACCCCTCGTAAAACTCCCCACAGTTTAACAATTATTATATGACAGGTTTAAAGGCAAAATCTTTAATAATCGTTTTATAATTACTAAAATCGATATCTTGTTAGTTCACGGTATACAATTACCATATGAACAGAGCAGTGTTTTAAAATATTCAGGAGTTTTATGTAAATTGTGAAAAACAGGGTGCCAAAAGTTAAGTTGACGGACTATAATACAAGTTTGTGTCTTCATGATCATCATCACTATCACCATCACGACAGCGCCGTGACAATCATCACTTTCTTCTCCTCCGTCATGTTGATGTCACTGCCCACTACAAGTCTCATGGTGACAGTGAGGCGATATGGGTTATACACCCCGAACATCGGCCACAGTGGTTCACTACAGTCTACATTGTCTAACGTCGACATGACTTTCTTCTCCTTCACATCAATGAAGACAATCTTCTTCTTGACGTCATCATAGACAACACCGTAATGTAGTGTATGTGATGCCCCTGATGTGTTGGGAGAGTGTCAGGCAGACACAGCACACGCTTCTCCTCCTTACATATCAACCTGCATATCCCGCCGTGTAGTAGTACAGTTGGGCGACGGCCATAGAGAGTAGAGTGGGACGTCCATCTATACAATGATGCACGTCCATCTGCTCCTCCCTACATACTCCAACCTCCAGGATGAGATCGTTCTCTGAGAGTGGTTTGTCCAGACCGACCCTGTTCTCCACCTCCCAGTACTGGAGACAGCCATCCTGGGAGGGAGGCAGTGCTACATGTGCCCTCGTACTTCTTCAGTCTCCCCTCCCCTGCAGGTCTGGTGTCCGACTCCTGTTGACCAGGTCTCCTTCTGTGTTGATGTGGACTTTGTCGAGATTGACTCTGTCTTTGTCATGCTTCAGTGGTGTATCTACAAAACGTAAAGGGAAGTGGGTAATGTAATGTTATTTACATGATACAATCTACTATGTATTACATTTGAATCTGCCATGCTAGTCGCAAAGTCAGAGTTAAATCACTCGGTGGCTAGTGTAGTGTTTCGGGCAGTATGCTGCAGGGAGCTCATAAGCGACTTTATTTATACACAAGCTATGTTTTGATGCATTTCCTAAACATTCTGGTATATTATGCTTTGGCGTATGTGATAACATTCTTGACACTTATAACATGGTAATATTGTGTAGGCAAAATTGAAAACCATGCTGAGTACAAGCGATTAAGAATATTCTGAGTGAACTTTCAATATCCGTATCGCTTACATTTACCCTAATTCAGACAATTTGGATTTGTGCGAAAATCAAGAAAATCTTTTGCACGTTGTGTGCATCATTACGACAAAATCTAATTGAATGAAATGACTACCTTATTGTAGTGAAATGAACAGTTCAACAAGAGTGAGTCAGTGAGTTTACTTTAACCCCGTTTTTAGCAATATTGATTCGGGTACATCAGAAATGGGCTTCACATATTGTAGCCATGTGAGGATACACAGCATGGACCTGGGTTATGCTGTGAAACTTCGATATCTTGCTGTATATAACAACACCAGTTTACTTGTCCTCAATTGTGAGGTGTTGGTATTTCTGATGCCCTTTCCGGTATTTACAATTTATATGATGTTACTGTTGTTTACCCAGTTGAAACATCTGGTTAAATATCATTAAATACGCCAGTTATTTAAGCACGGAAACAGCAAGTAACTACAAAATGTTACACAATTAACAACTGTAATATAAAATAAACTAATACAAATTACTACAATGGCAGAACAAATACAACTGCAGTTCAATTTCAGTGGCAGTGTAAACACAACAGCACTGGAAGTCACATAATAGTCAGTGATAATAATATTTACCTGATTGCATCAGTAATCAAACTTGCATAATAGGCATAGACTTTGTAGCCAGGGTAAAAGTAATGATCTTCACACAACCGCTGGTCTTCATGCAAATTGAATGTGCTGATTGAAATGAGCTTGCACCTTATATAGTTCACCCAAAAATAGTCCATAGCATACAATATAAGTTAATGTCGTTTCTAAAGAGTCCAGATTTTAACTAACACCGGAAGCATCTAAATACAGTTACGTCGGGAAGAAAGATATTCATGACAACTACTAATTACTGTTAAACACGATGTTATGAACTTCTACTGAATCAAAAGAGAAACAATGTACTACAACTGTGTCATAGTTACGATAAATTACAATGCCGTGTAACTGTATGTGTCAAAGTTGCCATGACACAAACACAATGTTCTGAATGAAGTGTGTTCATCCATTGTAGAAGTGTATAGTATAGGCGTGCACAGTGAATTTGTAGGCTGAAGGCGTGTGTATATATCCTCTCAATAGATATAATTATGTACTCACAATGCAGGACCATGTGTCTGTCTGGCACATCCGTCTTCAAGACATGAACGCAGCCTTTAGGGTAACCTGAAGATAACAATACCATAGAACTACTGGCCTTCAACGTGGGTGTAGATACAGAACCATTCTGGATATATATACTAACGGAGGAAAGTAACTGTGCATGACATAAAATTGCAGAAAATAAAGGAATCTAAAAAGTTGTAAAAATAACCCTAAATGAACATGTAGCAATGCAATTGGCTTGAACTTTGACGTCACGCGTGACACGTGTACAATGAACTTACTCACTTTTTTGCATGCTTATTGACACCTGAAGTTCACATGGAAATGTTGAAAAGCGAAAAATGGTTGAGTATTCTCTAGCCTCTGAATTTTGTGGAAAACTCGTTCATCTTAATCTAGACTGAGCATACGTCATGCCATGGCTTACAGAAAATCAGCGTCTCTACACCGTGGGTGTGCTGAAGACTGCAAAAGGCCCAAAATGAAGTGGTCAGACATTTTGGAGTCCATCAAAACACTCATGTCTATGGAGATAATGGGAACACGAGAGATTTGTCGTCCACGCGTGACGTCACGTCAGCAAGACAACCACATTCGGATGACCCATTTAATGAATCGTTTCCAGACTACTCGGACCATTCCTGGCTTATCCGTTCCAGGACTGTACGGAACCGACTGAGGGAGCACAATATGCGGCACTGACAGCCTGCAATGCGTCCAGTTTTGCTCCAACGTCACCGACAGGCACATCTTGTCTGGCGCAGACAGCATCTCCGGTACAAGAAACAAGATTGGGATGGTGAATTGTCCCCTGATCAGTCGAAATTTCAGGACAAGGGTGTACAGCTGACGCGTCCGTTGTTCAATGTCCGGTGGTGGTGGTGGTGGTGGTGACGGTATTATGGTATGGGGAGTCATCGCATCTCATGGTCGGACACAACTTGTCATTGTCAATTGCAATCTAACAGGTCTGCCAGACAGTTCTGAGATCACTTTACAAGCGTCCATTCAGGGACGTAACTTCACGCTGCAGCACCATAATGCCCGTCCACATGTTTTGTGACAGCAGAACCTTCCGACACTCCCCTGTCCATCTGTTTCTCCGGACCTGACCCCTATCGAGCACGCTTGGGATGAAATGGAGCAACGTTAACGTCAAGCCTAGAATCAGTATGGTGGACACACACTGTAGTGAATTATTCCAGTAGTATACACATCGACTCGCATTCCCACGGGTCTTCTTATGCTGCACGAGTGATATCAATGGTACAAACAATTACAATGGCGACATCGTGTTCCACAGATGTGAAGAAATCTAGAATAATTACTACAAACAAACCACAGATAGGAAGTAAAAACAGGATGTGAGTGTAGTCATCATGAAGTGCCAAATATCAAGCTGGAGTTCTTTTACTTTAAAATAGAGTTATTTTGTTAAATTAACAAATATATCCTGCAAAAATAGAATTATCAAGTTTTTTTAGGCTTAAAACACAGTTGAACATTGTAACTTAAATATGAAATGATAAAACCTCACGGTTGGTGGTGTCTTAAGAAATTAGAAGCATCTGTACGTACTATTCAGGATGGTTTCTGAAGCGGCTTGTAAGCTTCTGTCTTTCTCAGCTAGCATCTACAAATACGAAAAAAGACCAGCTGGTGAAGAAATTCATGTTGGCAAAATGTGTTTGTATTTTTCATACTAAAAGCACACATTCACATATACATTATTCGGTTGCAAAAATATGACTACAGGGTTATTTTATGGGGTAATTAGTTTTGTTTACGTTATAATTTGCTTAAAGTTGTGACTTAAGGATCGAGTCTGAACAAGACAAATAATAGGGTGGTCACTGGTAGATGCTCCCTGAGTAGTACACATTCAAACAGTATTTATTGCAATCCAATCGTTATCTGAATTCTGAAGCATCTACAAATGTGCAATGTCAGTGTAATATCACTTCTGGCCATTCTCGTAATTAAGGCTACATTTCCTCAATAGGTGTGACAAGATGACATACCAGTTTCATGTTGTCAGATTCAGCATTCAACTGGTCAGTGAGCTGCTGAAGTCTTTCTTTGTCTGAAGCAAAATTCGATTTCAGTTCTGCAAGCTCCTGAAACGTAAAATATGTTTTTGTTAGAAGATGGAGGCCATCTATGAACATGCATTCAAACAACAACAACAAACAACAACACTTTTCTCATACTTAGACGTTCAAATACTGCCATCCAATACAATAAACTTTTCGTTTCTCTATCAAAACCAGCATATCTCTTCAGAGAAAAGTTGACATGGACAGGTAGAACAGGTGAATTAACAAGGAGTGTTGGTTGAAGGAGGGAAATACCGGGTTTCAAGTGGAAAACATCTAACAAAAAACCTGCAGCAAGATTATCGTCATATCAATTTGACACTCATAATGGACTCATCCTTTTGCTGCCTTTTTTAGTGTCTGGAGACTTCTGTTCCTATTGCATTACTCCAACCGGTTTCTTGGCGAATCAGTTTCAATGAAACAGATATGGACTAATAAATGTAAAGAAACGGCGACTGAGCGCCTATTCCTTCATACGTGTATAGGTAGCTTATTAGACATACCATTTCGTGTTTCTGTTTCAGGGTCGCAAAAATGTCATCGGTCTGTGTTTCCTTGTCTGAAATTGTATAAGCAATATCCGATTAATGATTGATTTCCGAGAAAATATAAAAACAAGGTCTACAGAATTATCATACCACATATCATTGATAATGGACATGCTTTGACATGCATACCATCAGTCCTGTCTCTTGTTGTTTCCTCTTTCAAAGCACTGATGGTACCAAATCCAGACATATCTGACTTCAGTTTGGACAGACCGTTGGTGTTGAAGACAGCTGTTGCAACGTCATATGTTTGAGGTGAAGCAGTTTCTAGGTAGGTTCGAGTTACCCTATCAACAGAACTCTCAAGCTTCAGGAGTGCCGACTTTGAGGCATAGAGAAGACTCTTCCTAATGTATCCTGCAACATCGTTACATCTGACATGTTCGGTTTCACATGAGGTTTGAAGAGCATGTAGAGTTTCCTTGGTTTCCTTTGTCTGACTTTCAAGATCAATCAGGAGTTCTTTCTCCCTCTGGTCAAGTTGAGACCGTAAAGACTGGAACGTCAGTGCGATAGTACCCTTCAGTGTGTTCTGTGTGCTGTCTGTAAACTTTCTGTCTTGTCTGATACTCTGAAGATGTGTTTGCTGATCGGTCAGTAGCGAGGATAGATCTTTGACGTGTTGTTCAATCCGTTGTTTACCTCCTAAAGCTGCCTCATCCAGATCTTCCACCTCGTGACCAGCATGCTCTCCTCTCAAACATCGGCTACAGATAGATGTGTTGCAGCTTTTGTCAAACAAATCAAGAGGATAACGATTGTGTATTCTGCAATTTGTTTCACGCACTAGATTTTGAGGGGCAATATCCACAAAGTTGTACACGGAGTGATTCCTTGAGAGTCTGAAGCTGCTGTGCATGTTCTGGCAATATTCACAGAGTAACTCTTCACACTCTTGACACCAACACACAGCCTGGTTTCCGTCATCTTCATGTGTACAGAGAAGCTTTGTGGGACAATGTTTGATTGCCAGGTGGAATATTTCTTGTTGCCTAACTTCATCCTTCTGGAGACTTGCTTCCGTGAGGTTGACCTCCCTCTGACAAGTAGAGCATGATATCACACCACCAGCTGCAGATGTCACACACATCTCACACACAGCGTGTAGACAGGGCAGTAGGTAGGGGGCGGGGCCTTTCAGGGTAAACTGCTGCTGACAGACAGAACACTTCGGGAAGGTGTCCATTCTGGAAGACACAAAACAATATTGTGCAAATATAGCTTTCAAGCAATGCGTCGACAGTGTGTAAAGAATGACGTCTTTACCAATGAATCCAATACTCCATATTGTGAAAATCGACCTCCGCAGCTGGGTTATGATGATGTGTTACTTACTAAATCAGTGAACCATTGTCATACATGGTAGTACAATTTATTGGTGTTTTATGCACATAGAGCGTTTCTCTTGTGGCCGCATTAGCTTGATTGCTTCTAAAAATCACATATATTTTAACACTGGCTAATTATTTGCTTTTCTGAAGCTTTCTACACCATGCATGATACGATAGGGAAATAAATTGATCACATGCTTCTCTGATCCCTAATCAAGGGCTTCGGATGTGCCTTTTGGGGTACGTTTCGCTAGACAAACTGCGACCTTAATTCACCTGTGAATCCAAGAACTGTGCAGTGTGAGCAAACTGTGCGAACCTGGTGCAGATACAAAATCTGTTTCGAGGAAGTCGTTCCTCAACATGGCTCAAAATATTAACCGAAAGGATAATACTATGGCTGGTAGGTCAGTAACAAAAACATTCCTTTCTAGATGTCTTATCTACATCAGGGTGTTGGTACGGCCTAGTTGTAAAATAGTTCACTCGTCATGACGGGTTCAATGCCTGGGTTTGATACCCCATTTATGAACAGTTATGCAAAGTCAATTTCTAGTGTCCCCTTTGTAATATTGCAGGACTATTGTTAAAGAAGGTGACCTTACGTACTTTCTAACCTTGCAACATTGCACCTTACTTCAGAATTCCAAAGAGTGTCCAACCACTCTTGCTCAGAAGTTGATCAAGGTTACAATATGCAAGGCCTCAGTAAAGCTTTCAAGAAGTTTTATGGTACAGGCAAACAAGGATATCACAATTAGAACTAAAACTAGCGTGGAAAGTTAAAAGCAATATTGTCCATGTGACGTTACATGATGACTCACTCATTCACTTACTACCTTATCCAATGCAACATTCCACCTTACCTTCTCATTTGTCCTCTGCAACATTGTACCTTACTAACTCCATTACCATTGCAACATTTTACCTTACATACTGCCTTATGCACTACAACGTTGTTTCTTACCTACTCCCTTATCAACTACAACATTGCTTCTTACATACTCCCTTATCCACTACAACATTTCACATTACTTACTCTCTTATCCACTGCAACAGTCTACCCTACTTACTCCCTTATCCACTACAACATTCCACCTTACTTACTCCCTTATCCACTACAACATTGTACCTTACCTACTCCCTTATCCACTACAACATTGCTCCTTACTTACTCTCTTATCCACTACAACATTGTGCCTTATTTACTCCATTATCCACTACAACATTGAACCTTACCTACTCCCTTATCCACTACAACATTGTCACCTTACTTACTCTCTTATCCACTACAACATTGTGCCTTATTTACTCCCTTATCCACTACAACATTGTACCTTACCTACTCCCTTATCCACTACAACATTGTACCTTACCTACTCCCTTATCCACTACAACATTGTACCTTACTTACTCCCTTATCCACTACAACATTGTACCTTACCTACTTCCTTATGAACTACAACATTGTACCTTACCTACTCCCTTATCAACTACATCATTGCACCATACTAACTCCCTTATCCACTACATCATTGCACCTTACCTACTCCCTTATCCACTACAACATTGTACCTTACTTACTCCCTTATCCACTACAACATTGTACCTTACTTACTCCCTTATCCACTACAACATTGTACCTTACCTACTCCCTTATCCACTACAACATTGTACCTTACCTACTCCCTTATCCACTACAACATTGCACCTTACTTACTCCCTTATCCACTACAACATTGCACCTTACGTACTCCCTTATCCACTACAACATTGCTCATTACTTACTCTCTTATCCACTGCAACATTGTACCTTACCTACTCCCTTATCCACTACAACATTGCTTCTTACTTACTCGCTTATCCACTGCAACATTGTACCTTACCTTACTCCCTTATCAACTACATCATTGCACCATGATCACTCCCTTTATCCACTACATCATTGCACCTTACTTACTCCCCCTTATCCACTACAACATTGTACCTTACTTACTACTTTCTTATCCACTACAACATTGTGCCTTACTTCTACTCCCTTATCCACTACAACATTGTACTTTTACTACTACTCCCTTATCCACTACAACATTGTACCTTACTTACTTACTACTCCCTTATCCACTACAACATTGTGCACCTTACTTACCTCCCTTATCCACTACAACATTGTACCTTACTACTTCCCTCCCTTATCCACTACAACATTGTACATTTTACTACTCACTCCCTTATCCACTACAACATTGTAACCTTACTTACTCCCTTATCCCCTACAACATTGCTACTCCATTACCTTCCTTATCCACTGCAACATTGCACCTTACTTACTCCCCTTATCCCCTTATCCTACTCCTTATCCACACAACATTGTACCTTACTTACTCCCTTATCCACTACAACATTGTACCTTACTTACTCCCTTATCCACTACAACATTGCTCCTTACTTACTCCTCTTATCCACTACAACATTGTACCTTACTTACTCCCTTATCCACTACAACATTGTACCTTACCTACTCCCTTATCCACTACAACATTGTCCTTACTTACTACTCCCTTATCCACTACAACATTGTACCTTTACTTACTCCCCTATCCACTACAACATTGTACCTTACCTACTCCCCTTATCCACTACAACATTGTACCTTACCTACTCCCTTATCCACTACAACATTGTACCTTACTTACTCCCTTATCCACTACAACATTGTACCTTACCTACTCCCTTATCAACTACAACATTGCACTTTACCTACTCCTTTATCCACTACAACATTGCACCTTACTTACTCCCTTATCCACTACAACATTGTACCTTACCTACTCCCTTATCCACTACAACATTGTACCTTACCTACTCCCTTATCCACTGACAACATTGCCTTACTTACTCCCTTATCCACTACAACATTGTACCTTACTACCTACTCCCTATCCACTGCAACATTCCACCTTACTTACTACTTCCTTTATCCACTACAACATTGTACCTTACCTACTCCCTTATCCACTACAACATTGTACCTTACTTACTCCCTTATCCACTACAACATTGCACCTTACTTACTCCCTTATCCACTACAACATTGTACCTTACCTACTCCCTTATCCACTACAACATTGTACCTTACTTACTCCCCTTATCCACTACAACATTGTACCTTACTTACTCTCCCTTATCCACTACAACATTGTACCTTACTTCTACTCCTTATCCACTACAACATTGTACCTTACTTACTCCCCTATCCACTTATCAACTACAACATACTCACCATCCACTACAACATTGTACTTACTACTCCCTTATCCACTACAACATTGCACCTTACTTACTCCCTTATCCACTACAACATTGTACCTTTACTCTACTCCCTTATCCACTACAACATTGTACCTTACTTACTACTCCCTTATCCACTACAACATTGTACCTTACCTACTCCCTTATCCACTACAACATTGTACCTTACTTACTCCCTTATCCACTACAACATTGCACCTTACTTACTCCCTTATCCACTACATCATTGCACCTTACTTACTCCCTTATCCACTACAACATTGCTCCTTACCTACTCCCTTATCCACTGCAACATTGTACCTTACCTACTCCCTTATCCACTACAACATTGTACCTTACTTACTCCCTTATCCACTACAACATTGCACCTTACTTACTCCCTTATCCACTACAACATTGTACCTTACCTACTCCCTTATCCACTACACACACAACATTGTACTTCCTTACTCCACTATCCACTATCCACTACAACATTATCCACTACAACATTGTACTCTTACCTTACTCCTTATCCACTACAACATTGTACCTTTACTTACTCTCCTTTATCCACTACAACATTGTACCTTACTTACTCCCTTACTTCCACTCACAACATTGTACCTTACTTACTCCCTTATCCACTACAACACATTGTACCTTACTTCTACTCCTTATTATCCACTACAACATTGTACCTTACCTACTCCCTTATCCACTACAACATTGTACCTTACTTACTCTCCTTTATCCACTACAACATTGTACCTTACCTACTCCCCTTATCCACTACAACATTGTACCTTACTTACTCCCTTTATCCACTACAACATTGTACCTTACTTACTCCCTTATCCACTACAACATTGTACCTTACTACCCCTTATCCACTACAACATTGTACCTCTTACCTACTCCCTTTATCCACTACAACATTGTACCTTATTTACTCCCTTTATCCACTACAACATTGTACCTTACCTACTCCCTTATCCACTACAACATTGTACCTTACTTACTTACTCCCTTATCCACTACACATTGTACCTTACTTACTCCCTTATCCACTACAACATTGTACCTTACCTACTCCCTTATCCACTACAACATTGTACCTTACCTACTCCTTATCCACTACAACATTGTACCTTACCTACTCCCTTATCCACTACAACATTGTACCTTACTTACTCCCTTATCCACTACAACATTGTACCTTACTTACTCCCTTATCCACTACCACTACAACATTGTACATTTACTTACTCACCCTTTATCCACTACAACATTGCACCTTACCTACTCCCTTATCCACTACAACATTGTACCTTACTTACTCCCTTATCCACTACAACATTGTACCTTACTTACTCCCTTATCCACTACAACATTGCATCCTTACCTACTCCCTTATCCACTACAACATTGTACCTTACTTACTCCCTTATCCACTACAACATTGCTACCTTACTTACTCCCTTATCCACTACAACATTGTACCTTACCTACTCCCTTATCCACTACAACATTGTACCTTACCTACTCCCTTATCCACTACAACATTGTACCTTACCTACTTACTCCCTTATCCACTACAACATTG